TCACACCAAGCACCGGGCGCCCCCTCGGCGACCCCCCTCTCATCGACCTGAGCCTCACCCCAGAGGCTCCCGTGGCTTCGGGACCTGGAAGTCGGCCTCTGCTCGACCTCCTGGCGAACACCCCAGACACAGACAGGAAAGCCATGGCCAAGCCGCTCTCCGGGGTGGGACAGGTGAGGCGGGTGGGATGGGTGAGGTGGGTGGGATGGGTGAGGCGGGATGGGTGAGGAGGCGGAGGGCCCGGCTTTGGCCCCAGGGGGTCTCGGTTCTGGGTTTGCTCCTCGATTCCCAGACATCATGTGACCCTGGAGTGGCCTTGGAGGCCTCCGAGGGCAGCAGGCCTCGGGCCCACCTCATCCCTGGGCGCCAGAGCTCCAGTTCCCGCCCGCTGAGGAGTCCTGCCCGTCCCCGGGGGTGAGGGGCATAGCTGTTGAGGGACCAGGTGCTTCGGGGGGTGGCGTTTCCTCCCGCTTCCCAGTGCCCCTTGGGGGTCAGTGCGCCGAGCCCGCTTTACTGAGCTGCTGGGGCCCAGGCTCCGTGCAGCCGGGTGCACGGCTGGGAGGGCCCGCGGCAGGGCGCCTGCTCACCCGCTTCCCCCGCAGCTCATAGACCTGTGCTCGCCGCTGATCCAGCTGAGCCCCGAGGCCAACAAGGAGAACGTGGATTCGCCGCTCCTCAAGTTCTGAGGGCAGAGCCGCCTTCACCTCCGTCTCTGCTGTGAGCACACACCGTCCTCACGTGGCTCCAGCCCTCAGACACCGTTTTAGGAGAAATTATATTGGAAAAAAGTTTCAAAACCTCAGGGAAATTCCTCGGGGGTGGGGCTGTGGGATGGGGCGTCGGCCACCTGCGGTCACTACCGCCCTCCCTGCGCGGTGCCTGTCCGAGTCCACATGGACTTTATGAATCTTTTTTATGTAAAATAGCAAATGACTATTTTAAGAACTAAGTTTGTATAAAAGTTAAGTATTCTAGGTTTAAGTTAAATTGTAAAATAAGCGAAGATATATTAAAGCATATCTTGGTTTCAAATATACATGACTTTATCATCTTAATCCGCATGCGATGTGAGATTTATATCGTCCAAACTTCGAAACGTAGTGTGGCTGCCGATGGGGGCCGAGGGCGTGACGCTGGGTGAGGTCAGGCTGAGAAGCCCCGAGGGGCCTCCCTGGTACTGGAACCTTAAAGGGCCTGGCAGAGCCGGCTGCCGGAGGCGGCGGTGCGGCGGTGAGATGGGTGAAGGTGGTCAAAAGGTATAAACTCCAGTTATTAACAGTCACAGGAATGGAACCAAAAAAAATGTGAATAAAAATGGGTTTATATGTAGCCCGGGGTCTGGGGCAGGCGGACAGTCTGCGCTTTCAGTGGGCGCCAGGGACTCAGCCGAGCTGGCCGCAGGCCTGAGGAGGCTGCGGCTGGGCGGGGTGCAGCATGGAGGGGGGCATCCTCCCTAAGGAGGGGGTGCTGTGGGTGGCCCCTGGCTGTGTTCCCAGCAGGAGCCGTTTGGGGGCGGCAGCGGGAAGCCCTGGCAGCTCAGGGCCGCTGCTCAGCGTGTTCCCTGTGGAATATTTCTCTATAGCTGGCCTGAAAGATGGATCTGTGTAGATCCTGTTGGTGAGGAAATTTCCGTCAGAAACGCTGTAATTGGGAGCCTGGGTCCCCCGGGGCTGACGGAGGGCGCTGGGATGTGAGCCCCCATCAGGGAGACGACTGCTGTGGTCCCAGGAGTAGGACCATGAAGGGAGCAGGGACGGTGTGGCGGTGCCCGGAGGGGATGCTGTGAAGATGCCCGAGGTGTGTGTTCCCAACTGGACTTGTCCCGAGTCACCAGACGAGGCAGGCCTGCCGGAGGGGCACGCGGGGCGCCTAGCCGAGGGCACCTGTGGGCCCACAGCTCTCCTCCTCCCCGCCCTCTACTCTGGGGGTGGCAGAGGGACCAGGACGCAGTTAGTGCCTCGAGGGTCACCAGACGCCTGGCCTCTCTGTTCACGGGAGAAGACCAAGGCCTGGGCCTGAACTCACTCGACAAGTATTTATGGGGACTCGCTCGTATGTGCAGGCTGCGTTTCTGCTGGATACAGTGGGGTGCAAAGCTCATGCACCCTGTCTTCTGGGGGCTTAGGTTTGGTGGGAGAGGGGCCGAATGGGGCTCCAGCCGTCCTCTGCACCGGGGGCTGAGCTGCTGCTCCCGGCCCCCCACTCCGCCCTCCCTCCCCAGGCTGCCTGGGCCCAGGGGCTCTGCCTGCTCTGCAGTATCCCTGCGGTTCAAGTCATTGGACTTTAATTCCTTCAAGCAGGTGAGAGAGGCCCCCACCCAGTGTTAGGTAAAGGACCCCCCTTCCCCCCTGGCTGTCCTGGCTCCTGGGCCCTAACCCGCCTGCGCACACAGGGCAGGAGGAGTGCTGAGCTCCGGGGCAGCACTTTCCGTCCAGCGGTGGGAGCTCCCCGCTGCCATGGGATGGCCGCCTTCCTGGGCTCCGCAGGCCCCGCGCCACGTGACTACGGCATCTCTGAAATCCACGGAATTATAGAGCCGTGGGCAAGGGCCCTGGACAAGGGCCCTGGGCTGGCATTGTCTTTGCCATGGCGGGTCCACCCACAGACCTGGATTTACACGGAGGTTAAAGACCAGGAGCTACAAAGCAGCTAAGAGATTTAACGGAGAAGCAGCAGAAAACTTGTTGCCAATGCATCCTGTTCCCTCCCCTTTGTGGGTGGGCTGCCACATACGGAAACCCAGAGCCCCTTGCTGGGCAGAAACTGGACTTCCGCCCTAACTTTGTACCAGACTGCCACCCCAGGAAGGACATGTCCTCTAGGCCGGGCCCCCCAAATCCAGCGACATCAGCAGGGCCACGGCCACGACTCAACTGAGCGTGTGCTCCTGAGCCTGCCCAAGGCAGGTGCCCAGGTGCTGGACCTACCCATCCCCCCTGGGAGATGCAAGAAGAAACTGCTTCCCTGTAACTCTCGCCCACAGGGCCCGGCCACCCTCCCGCCCGCCCCGGAGCTCACCCATGCCTGCTCTTTTTTTTTTTTTTTTTCCATAACAGTTTTTTTTTAGCAGCTCAGT